GGGAGCAGGGGGAGAGAAGAGATTCACAGACTTTCCTGCCCAAGCTGACTTTGAACTGCAATCCTTAGATCTCAGCCTCCTGAGTAGCTAGGGTGACAGGCCTGAGCCACCAGCACCTGGCTGAGTCATCCTGTTTTCCACTCTTTTACTCCTTTCTTCTCATGGTGTCATTGAGGAAATCTGTGCTGAAGAACAACACCCCTCTCAGAGCGAAGCTCCTCTCCCTTGTCTAGGAGAGGCGGCCCTCAGCCTGAGCCTAGGCCTGGCAGCTATCTAGAACTTGCCAGCATGACTTTGCTCCCATGTTTGTTTGTTTGGTGGTTTTGTGTATTAAGTGTGATACAAAGTATCTATGTAGTGTAAATCAAAAACCAATGCATGAAGTTCTAAAGCCCAGGCAGTCTGAAGATCACAGAAACTGAGATAACCCGCCCAGCAAGGGCTTGAAAGCCTGGGCATAAATAATGAAACCAGGAAAGGTCAGGGCCCTGAGACCAGTCTGTAATCCCAGCTACCCAGAAGGCATAAGTAACAGGATCCTGGTGTGAGGCTGGGGGCATGGATCAGCAGTAGGCAATGTGACCCAAGTAGTAGAGTTCCTGCCTAGCAAACGTGAGGCCCTGAGTTCAAACTCCACTATTGCCAAAAAAGACCCAGCAAGCTGGGAATGAGAAGGTCCTTTCTACACATGGGAGGTGACCAGATGGCCTGGTGCCTCTGCCCCTTCTAGATCGCGATGATGATGGGCAGAGCTAGGGCTCATACTAGATATGACGTGGGACTCAGAGCCCAAGCCAGGGGATGAAAACACTAACAGTCTAGCTCCTCCTGGAGGATTGCCCACACAAGGCCTGTGGTGTGGGCCTTTACTCTGCTGGCAGAATGAAGATGGCCTAGCGACAGGTTAAATGGTATTAAATCTATGCTAGGCCCCAGCAAGAATAAAGCAAAGTTCCACACAAGAAGAGTCTGCAAGGCAGGCTCAGTGGCACCCTCCTGTAATCCCTGCCCTCAGTAGGATGAGGGAGAATGGCTAGTCCCAGGATGTAAAGGAAGTCCAAAAGTAACTGCAGCAGCAGCCTTGGGACAGTGAGTCTCAGGAGCTAAAGTACGTACCTTGTTTTAAAATACAGGATGTGATCCAGGCCTGGGACGCCATGTCTGACCACTTCCAGGTAATGAGATGCTGCTGGTCTCACGGCGAGGAGGCAGCAGGCACCCGGAAAAAGCGTGTGTGGTGGGTAACTGCATTGTTCATTTTAATAACTTCAAACAGGCCTTGAGCCAGGCACCTTTGGTGCATACCTGTAACTCCAGCTACTGAGGAGGCTGACACCTGGAGGATCAAGGATTGAAGCCAGCCCAGGCAGAAAAGTCTGTGAGCCTCTTGTCTCCAATTACACAGCAAAATGCTGGACTGGAGGTGTGGCTCAAGTGGTAGAATACTGAGAGGAAAAAGAGCAAGAATGTGTGAGACTCTTGAGTTCAAGCCCTACTACTGGTACAAACAAAACTACAGGGGCTGGGAAGATGGCTCAATGGTAGCGTGCTTGCCTTGCACGCATGAGGCCCTGAGTTGGATTCCTCAGCACCACATAAGCAAAAAAAGCTGGAAGTAGCACTGTGGCTCAAGTGGTAGAGCACTATCCTTGAGCTGAAGAGCTGAGGGACAGTGCCCAGGCCCAGAGATCAGGCCCCATGACCAACCAAAAACAAAACAAAACTACAGGCTATCATGGTGGTTCACATCTATAATCCTACCTACTCAGAAGGCCAAGAGATCTGAGGATCAAGGTTGAAACCACCCCAGGCAGGAAAAGTCCATGAGTCTTTTCCCTCCAGTTAACCACCAAAAAGCCAGAATTGGAGCTGTGGTTCAAGTGGTAGAGCACCAGCCTTGAATACAAAAACTCAGGGACAGTCAGCTGGGCACCAGGGGCTCACATCTGAACTCAGGAGGCTGAGACCTGAGGATAAAGGTTCAAGGCCAGCCCAGGCAGGAAAGTCCATGATACTCTTATCTCTAGTTAACTACCAAAAAAAAAACAGAAGTAGAGTTGTGGTTCAAGTGGTAGAGCACTAGCCTTGAGCAAAAGAAGGTCAGGGATAGTGCCCACGCATTAAGTTCAAGCCAACACACACACACAAAATCACAAAATACAGGCCATAGATGAAGTATTTACATTGGAAATCAGAAGCTACAAACTAGGGCTCATCACTTAAGAAACTGATAGAAATATCAGTAAAATTTTACAAGATGGACAGGCAGATTTTCTTTACCATCCCAGAAATAGTTGATAAACATTGACCTCCACCCCACTGATTGGGAAGTGAGCAAAGGAGAGGTGAAGATGAGGACTTGGAAGGGGTATGCAGGATTTACAGATAAATATAAGACAGTCAATATATACGCATACACACACACACACACACACACACACACACACATTCTAGCTGGGCGTGGATGCATATACCTATAATCCTGGCTACCTGGACAGTGGAGGCAGAAGGACTTCAAGTTCAAGCTCAGAGAAAGTTGTCAGCACACTGTCTCAAAAAACAAGGCACAAGCCGGGTGCCAGTGGCTTGTGCCTGTCATCCTAGCTACTCAGGAGGCTGAGATCTGAGGATCCAGTTCAAAGCCAGCCTGGGCAGGTTTATGTCCAATAAACCACTCAGAAAACCAGAAGTGATGCTGTGGCTCAAGTGGTAGAGTGCTCACCTTGAGCTGAAGAGCTGAGGGATAGTGCCCAGGCCAAGTTCAAGTCCCACTACTGGGAAAAAAAAAAAGGCAAAAGCAAAAGGTGTGGGGGATGTAGATCAAGTGGCAGATTGGTTGGCTAGCATGTGTGAGGTCCTGGGTTCCATCCCCAGTACCCAATAATGCATCCACTCTAGGTAAGGTGTTGGTGAATGTTTTGACAAGACCCAAACTAAACAAACAAAAATAAAAAATATTAAAAAGCCTCAGCTCTTCTACTGAAGCTCAAAAGCCATTCTCAATGATATGCATGCAAATGAGCCACTAGTTTTAAATAAAACTTTATTTGTAGATACTGAAACAAATTTCTTAGTATGCAGACACCAGGAGATTGTATTATTTGTTCCATTTTTTTTCTCCTTCCTAACCAAGTAAGCATATTGAAAATAACTATAATAAGGTTAGAAGCTAGATTTGGCCCAGCAATCATAAGACCTCAATTCTTCTAGACCACACTGGAGAAACAGGCAATGCTGGGGCTCACATGTGAGCAAGAACCTGCAACACGGTACAGACACCAAGCAGAGGGATGAGCAGGTGCAAAGGTCCTGAGGTTGATGAGCATGGTGAGCTCCCTGGACAGACACACAAGCAGCTGGAGCAGTGAGCCTCAATGAACAGTGCAAAATGATTCCAAATTCAGACAAATTCTCCTGAGGAGCCTAGAAGGAATCCCCTGAGTACTTAAAAACATTTTCAACTATCTTTAAAAAAGATGTCTTCAAGCCAAGGCCAGTGGCTCACACCTATAATCTTAGATACTCAAGAGGCTGAGGTCTGAAGCTAGCCCAGGCAATAATGCCAGTGGGGTTCTTTACCTCCAATTAATCACTAAAAAAGCTGAAGATAGAACTGTGTCTCCTGCTCTAGAGCACTGCTAGCCTGGGGACAGTGGGAGGTTGAACCTCAGGAACTGTGCCCAGGCCCTGAGTTCAAGTGCTATGACCAACACAAAACAAAATAAAACAAAAGAATCCTTCGTAAGGGTGTGGTAGCTCTCACACTTAATACCTGGGAGGTCAAATTGAGAAGATGACAGAGACCATCCCAGGCAAACTGTTCAAAAGACTCCATCACAACTAACAGCTGGGCATAATGGGCTATTTGTCAATCCTAGCTACACGGGAGGCTGAGATCCAGAGGACCTCAGTCTGGGTGGGGTAGGGTGGGGATAGCCATAAATCCAAGACTTAACTAAAGCCAGCCAGACACTGGAGGCTCACACCTGTAATCCTGTCATCCTAGCTGCCAGAGAAACGGAGATCTGAGGAGGGGCAGCAAAATCCGTGAGACTCTGACCTCCAACGAACCACCCAAAAAGCCAGACGTGGAGCTGTGGCTCAAGTGGTAGAGAGCCTTGCGCAGAAAAAAAAAAAATCAGGGACAGCATCCAGACCCCAGGACTGCCGAAAGAAAGAAAAGAAAGGGGCTGGGAAGGTGGCTCAGTGGTAGAGCGGCCCTGGGTTCGATTCCTCAGCACCACAGGAGCAGAAAAAGCCGGAAGTGGGGCTGTGGCTCAAGTGGTAGAGCGCTCGCCTTGAGCTGAAGCGCTGAGGGTCAGCGCCCAGGCCCAGAGTTCAAGCCCCACGACCGACCAAAGCAAAAAGGGCTGGGGGGGGCGCGGCTCAAGCGGGAGAGCCTACCCAGCACGAAGCCCTGGGTTCAAATCCTGCCTCCCTATCCAAGAAAGCAAAACGCACGTTACAGATCGGACCCGTGGGGGCCTAGCTCCGAGCCCGGGGCGCTGCACCCCGTCCTGGCCGCCCCCCGCCCCCCGCCTCCGCGCGCGGACTCCGCAGAGCCGGCGCTGGGTTCGGGCGCCGGCGCCCGAGGCCCGAGGCGCAGGCCTCTCCCCGCGCAAGCCCAGGGGCTTACCTGGAGGAAGGCCCGTACCGCTCCCTCTCCCGCCGACGGGAGCCCCATCCCACCGGCGCGGACAGCCCGACGGACAGGGACCGGACAGCGCCGCGGCTCAGCGGCGTCCACCAAGCGCCCGGCTCCCGCGCAGGCGCGAGGCGGCGATGACCACGCCCTCCTCCGCCGGCGGGAAAAGAAGGCGGAGGATGTAGGGGCGGGGGGGGGGGGCCAAGGCGGTAGAGGACGGTTAGTACGCCAGCGCGCGCTGAGAGCGCGAGTAGCATCTCGGAGCGGCGCGCGGCTCATTGCGCAGGCGCAAGATGCCCGCCTCACCGGGAGCCGGACTGGTTTAAATGCGCACGCGCGGGAGTCTCTGGCAGAAAGCAGGGGAGCCCGGGCCGGCGCGGGGCCTTGTGGGAGGGCTTAAGGAAGTAAAATGGCGGACCTGGCGAACGAAGGTAGGGGAGGCGCCGACGGGGGGCCAGCTGGCGGCTGGAGAACGGGCGGTGGGCAGCTTGGGGGCTCCAGGCCCGAGGGGGGGGAGCCCCGGAGTGCGGGGACCCCGTCCGCTCCGCTCTGGAGGCCCGGCGGACCCCGCGGCCACCCCCCACCG